GGGGGGGGGGGTGTTTACACTAGATGTGGCTAGATACTGAAAGCCAAAGATTGTTACTTTAACATTGACATGGTCCAGTAGGTCCAGGATGAAGTCCTTTCATGAGAAAGTTGATATCTTCATGCAGTGACCTCAGCTTGATACTTAAGAAACAAAATTATCCAACAAAGAATGGCAGGGATAAATAGTAACACCAATTACATTGCTCAATTAAACTAAACAAAAGAGTATAATAAGTTTCAGCAAGGTACAATGAGAATTTTCCCCCCTTTTTGGGTTTTTTTGGGGTAAGAGGGTGAGGGGCAGAATCAGAAAGAATAAAAGGAAACCAAAGAACTTGCCAGAGTTGTCTTCATAGAAGGTATTGCTTTCCTCCAGACGCAGGCGAGTCACTTCACTCATTTTCCCTGTAAAATATTCAAATTAATATGTTTTGTAACACAAGGACACGCCACGTGGAGATTCAATGAAAAGTTACTTTTCATAGGAAGCCGTAATCTAGATGTAAATTCATATATGAACTTTGGGAAGAGGAGGGGGAGCATGGGAAGAATCAAATTTATCAGCACAATCAAGTACTTTACAGGTTAGGTTTGTTTTTCGATTAAAATTTAAGCACATGCCATCAAAATCCCAAAACACATGGACTAGTGCATTCATATTCTTCAATCTCCAGCAGTAACCAGCAAGAAACAAGATAGAACCTGTTTGCATGGTTGGCATGAGCACCATAGCAGAATCTGGACCCTGTTTAACACTTGCAGCTTGCAAATGGCATTCGGAATGTCGAGCCGCTAAGGTAGCACCCAATGGAGTTTCTGAAGGCACAAAGAGTGGAGTTGCAGCAAGATGCATGATTGCTTGTGCCTGAAAATACGCCAGTGACCACAAAAGGAACTAAAATAGTGAATTGTCGTGACATTAATTCGCTGCAGTTCTGATGTGCATCATAGCTTAAACTACCTTTTCAGCGGGCACATCATCGTACACATTCACCTTGCCACAATAGAAGATTGTCAATTGACTTGCTGGTGTGTTTCCCAAATCTGTGGTTCTGGACTCACCAAGACAAGGGCGATTAGCATTTGAAGTTTTGAACTAAATATAACGGAATTTCTAGAAATCTCAGTCTGTAAAGGCGCATGCACTGGTAGAATCACAAGTTGCCTTAGGATGCCATCTTCAATAGAATGGTTTTTAGCATAATATAAACTACAAGGGCAGAGGAAAAATCAACTACATAAAAGCAGAGGAAAAAAATAAGAAGTGAATGTGAACAAAGCAATTTTAATGATTTGTAGGAAACAGAGAAGAATCTTTCCAACAAGCCAAAGGATAAATTAATAAATGTAGAAGAATATATGGAAATGAAAATATATACTTAGGAAAACATGACTAGAAGACTTAAATCGAAAACAACAAATGTATACAGTACAAGAAATATGTTGTTCTGAGCTGCATGATTATCTTCCAAGTTCTCACATTACATGATAGCTGTGGAACCATTGAAGTCATACTTTAAGCTACTGCGAGAAGCCTAAGGGTTTAGGTTGAGGTAGTTGATACAGCATAACTCCTAATAATAAACCTTTTACTAAAGTATCCCTAGTAGCACCCAGTCCATGCTCTTCAACATTTTTCAATTGTACATATTGCTCTTAACCTCAACACAACAAGCTCTATAGGAGCAACAATGCAGTGACCCTCTGGGATCTCACAAGTGGTAGTAGAATTTGGGACACAACCAACGAAGTATGAACAACTCTGTAAATGAGACGTAGTACCCAAAATAAAATGTACATTAGCAAGTAAAAAATCTCTTAATGCCATGCAAAATGCAGTCAAAGCCCTGAAAGACCGAAGCTCTCAAACGAGATTAAATTTAACGGGCATGAGTATTTACTTGCTTGTCAAATCATCAAGCACAATTCTTGCACATCTATTACCAAACCAGTTCAAGGACAGACAGGCAAATAAGCGAAGCATTCCATATCAGCCACTTAATTAATATTTCAGGGAGTACAAAAGTTCAACTATTAGTATTCATTTGGAACAAAGCGTCTCAAATTCAAGCACCTTATTTATTTGTAACAAAAAAGTAAAGAGCCAGTCTTTCAGGATATAAAAAGGCTTAATTAATTACGTAAAACCAGTGGACGATACGATGATTCACCTAGAAGGAGCTAAGTTATTGCCGGCAGCAACGGCAACTGAACCGGCAGCTATATCACCGGGAATATCAGGTTTTTTCGAATGTTTTCTTCCGTATGGCACCATCCCTTCAGCAGATTTCGAAAATTCTGCATCGGTATCCGTTCCTTTCTGGACCTACATTAGTTTAATATAATCAACAATTACGTGCTTAAACATGCACTGTTACGTTCACAATATGAAATTAAATGAAATGGAAACGCACTTGCTGTACTCTAGTGTCTGGGCGAGGAATGTGAAGTTTTCTCCGAGGGCCGGTGTCGGAATCCGGTGTCGTCTCGAGAAGCGCCTTCAGTGAAATCACCTGCTGAATCGCCTGTGATTTATTCCATGACGGCCTTCTCATTCCTGTACAAGAATATATTAAGAAATAATCTAAAAAAAAATTCGATTCTCGAAGCTCCTAGCAGAGAGGGGGAAAAAAATAGAGAGAGAGAAAGGGACCTTTTTCTTTAAGGTAACGGCGGCAATCTTCGCGAGTAAGCTGAGAAATGTCGTCATCGGTAAGTAGGTGGAGCGGTTTGTCCAGAGGTGATTTGGAAACTGTTTCTTCCGGCGGCATGCTGCTAAATTCAGGTTGAAATCGCTATAATTTCGCCGGAAAATTGGCAGTAGAAGATACCTGAGGTTGACGCGTTGAGTGTGGAGTGAGTGAGTGGTGCCGTCAGTGGAATTCGAGGAGTTACGGCAAAATAGGCCGCGGCGTTGCCGCTTAGATTGTTGCTTTTTGTTTTTGGACGTAGCCCATATTGGGGAGGCAAGCCTGCAACCCCAGGTTGCCACGTAATCAGGGATGTCATTATTGAAAAGGAAGATAGCCCCATCTCATCTTTCGAAATTGGTGATGCCCTTTGGCCCGGGGTGTGGGGGTCCCCTTATTAAAATACCACCTCTACTTCGCAGGCTACTTGTCCCATCACATAGTATTCTATATTCAAAACAATCTACCTAGGCCAAATTCAAATTTCACTTATTCACTGTTTGGTCAAGCGGAATAAAATCCGCTTATTTCGATATATGTTTTTTTGAAAAGTATTTTTTTTTAAAGAGAGAAACAGTTTGTATTTGATTAATTAATATAAAAATATATTTAAATAATAATTCGTGTTTGATCAAATTTTTTTTTTAAATATCAAATTATGAATAAGCACATAAAGAGATTTACTTAACAGTTAATATTATATAAATAAATAAATAATCTCTAATATTTATTATTGAAGATAGTAATTAAGTTTTTTCATTTTATTTAAGTAAAACATGAAAATAAAATTTAAAAGTATTTTAATTTTTTCAAGATAATTTAAATATATCAAAAAATTATTTATCATATTTATACATTAGGAGAGTTCTCAATAATATAATCTCTAATTTTAAGTATTAGATTTAAAATAAGTAAGATTATTTTCGTGTAAATTATATTTTGTTGAGGGTACTTTTTGTAAGAAAAAAAGTTAAAATTATTTCTGTTTCTGCTTCTAGAGAAGGGAAGGGGTTACATTTATCTGTTTCTCTAAAACTGCTTTTACTTCTTCCCAAAAGCACTTTCCTCTCCCCCAAACATGGCAAACACCTCTCAAGTTAAGAAAAAATAGTTTTTTGGGGGGAAATACTTTTGGCTTCGGAAGAAATTTGACCACATGCTATTATTCTATATAGTGTCCAGGTTAATTTGTATAAATTATTTACCATTTTCTATCAACACATATAATTAAATATTAAGTGTTTGTAATTTTGTTCACGAAGTCTTAAGTTGATGAGAATAGCTTTTTATTATTTACTGAAATTTGAATTTGGTGTTTAAAGTTTGCACTCATTTCATTGTTTATCACTTTATCTAAATTTGCATTAAGTTAGCTCTTTCAATAGTACGAAGTTCTTTTTTAAAGCTCGAATTCAAAATCACTAAATAAGGGTAGAATGATGCCAGCTGTTTCACTAAATTCTTTGCTGATTTTTGTGACCTACTCGTTTTGTAGACTTGTAGCAGTTAGGCGTCACTTCTTAAGAACTCGGCTTTCATATTTTTACGTGGAAACAGTGTCACTGATCTTATTACTATTTCTGTTACTACTTTTTCTTTTTTGTTAATGTTCACTAAGAACGAGAGTAGAACGACTATAACTTTTAGGGCTCGTTTAGTACGAGTATAATGAGATAATTAATTTCGAAATTAAATTTGAGATATTTATTTCACGTTTGGTTGAGATAAAATAGTAGTATAATTAATTTCGGCATTAGTTATTTTAGGATTATAGTGTTTTTATCTCCATGGAAAAGTAGGATAACTAATCCTGAGATAATTAATCATGGGATAACTTGTTTCCCAACCAAACGACCCCTCAAGAGTTGGGATGTATAATAGTACTTAGTAGGATGTATTAGTAATATGAGGATTAATAATGTTAGGATTAGTTATGTTGACATTAGTTATGCTGAGATTATATTTTATGATTGTTTGATGTGGTGTATTAAAAATAATATGCATTAGATAATTTCTAAAATATATACTATTTGTTTACAAAAATACCCTCCATATTCTTTAGCTTTATGGGACTTCAAGGGCAATTTTGTCTTTCACCATGCATTAATAATTTTGGTATTACTAATATCATAATTTGCTATATGATAATTATACATAGGATAATACCAAATATGGTGTATAACTACTATATGTAGGAGTATTACTTATAGATATGTTGAAAAAGTATACCAAACAAAAAATTAATCATATCAAAGCTAATACATGTATTATTTTTTTTTGAATACATCTTACAAAAAAAACCCTTTTTGGGTCATTTGGTAGAATGTATTTGGGAAAATAAGCATGTACTCCTTTGGTATTGTTAATCCCTTATTTGTTTGATAGAATATTTTTGTAAACAAATAATTATTTTAGAACTAAGCGAAGAAAGTTCTAGGGTTGGGCAGTCAAGATAAGGCTTCTCTTCCACCTTTATCTACGAACTCATGTGAGCGATAAGGACTCACGGGATGGTGATCGAAAGTTGTGAGTCCAAAATTTGTTGTCGTTTGAGATGAGTAAGGGATTGTTTTATGCGTTATGAAGAACATGAGGTATTGTCTAGCTTCGTATAGAGTTTGTGTGTTGTGTGAGCTAGAAGAAGGTTGGGTGTGGAGAACACCGATGAATTGTAATTTTCTAAAGGTCGTCGCTCCCCGGTGTTTGACGAATTGTTTGTATAACTAAAGCATGATGTTGGGCTGTTATTGTTGATTATAGTCCTCATCTTTAACGTTCCTTATAGATTGAAGCTTATACCGGACGGATCAATTCTTCGTAATTGAGCTAAAAGTTGAGAATCAAGGTATGTAAGGCTAAACATCTCAATTTCAGAATTATCTATCGGTTTCCTTGATAAAGAGTTTCATATGTTTGATGTAATCTCCCGAAGGACCTAGATGTGTTCATATGCGAATTGATAGTCACTCTGTACATGATACACCTCAGAATTTCCAGAAGTTCTATGTTAGTTCTTCATGCTAGAACTCGTATATTTTTTTCGATAAGAGCATTATGAGATGTTCAATTCCTACGAGACCGATGATGATATAGTCCCACTTAGGGCTGTGCAAAATTTGGTAAATATCGAATTACTTTATCGAAACCGAAAATTTTGGTATTTGGTATTCGAGATTTTGATATTCGGTATGGTATTTGGTTTAAGTTTTAAAAAAAATTGGTATTATGTATGATATTTGGTATTTTATAATAAAATACCGAAATACCGATACCGTACCGAAATATATATTATATTACACAATACACATATATTAATTATAACATAAACATAAAAAAATCTAAAATTTTACTTTCTTTTATTCTCTAAGTTCATCGGTTAACTCTAAGTAACAAGACATTTCTAATGATCAAATTTATTCTTTTATGTGTAGTTTTATCTCTCTAGGTTGATATTTGATGGTTTTGGACAAAATTTTTGTCAATAAACATTTTTAGTTTTGTACTTTTGAGTACCTTAATTACGAATATTACGGTCTATGACTTTATGAACTAGTTAGTATTCAAACCGAATAAACCGAAGTTACCGAACCGAATAAATTGAAACCGAACGGAGAAAAATCGAACCATACCGAATTTAATTAGGTACGGTATTGGTATAACATTTTAAGAAATCGAATATCAAAAATACCGAACCGAAATATCTAAATACCGTACTGTACCGATCGACAAACACTCCTAGTCCCGCCCATAAGTTTGAATGAGTTCTTTTATACGCTTCTCGAAGCTATTTGACAGATGTTGAAAGATATTCGGCCTTTAGGCTCGAACAAGTTCACTCATATGCATCTCGAGATTATATTGCTTGCAGATCGAAAGATAGTCATGTCATAATATTTTAAACGAGAAAGGTCTAAAAGTATATATAAGTATCCTCCCAGTTGTACAAATTTCTTATGGCCTTCATGGCCTAACAATTTCAGAAGCTCTTCTATGAGTCCGCGTATGTTTATATACGTTCTCAAGTGCCTCTAGAGCTTATATATCAATTTCACAGAGTCTTGTTACAACTTCATGTACTTCTATAGGTGTTCTAAAGCTACGAGCTTTAGTAAGTTCTATGAGTTTCCCGTAATATTTCACAAGTTTAGATGTATTAAGTTCATGTTCCTATCTTTAATAAAATCAAACAGCCGACAAAAAATAATCTCATTCCAGTATAACTAATCTCAGGATTACTAATTCGAGCATTACTAATACACCATATTTAGTATTGTATACGATCAAAATCAATTAGTCCTTCGTACGAACTGGTCGAGATGGTAATACATTGGATCGAAGAGCGTCTTCATAATATCAGGTTGAGGTCCGAAGTCAGGTCACCAAGATTCGAGTTTTAGGGACCGATCAATGTCGAGCTCAATATCATTACCGAGCTCGAATCCAAATCAAACTATGATGCGAAGCGAAGTTATCGAGCTTATAAGTCAGAGACCGACCAACACCGACCCCGACCCCGAATCACTACCGGGCTCCGAGTCAGAATCGAGCTCAAGTCAAGATTGAGAGCTCGAGTTGATATCGAGCTCGAGTCAATATCGGGCTCATGGACAAGAGCCGTTGCAACCGCACTAGGGGAGAGAATCCTGGCGAAAATTAGGAAAAAACTGATTTATCATGGGTTTCCCACTATGTATTTTTAATTATATCTAAAGTATGATTCCCCCCCTATAAGAGGGATGATTATTGTTTCTGTAAAGGCCATCAAGACATTTACACATGGTAACAAAAATACTATTTCTCAGATCGAACCTTTTGGACTTCATTACTTCATCTTATTTTGCTCATTCATTATCCTCCTTTCAACTGTGTTTATCTTTCACTCTTTACAGTCAAGATTGGATATTTCTATTTCTCTTTACGATTTGTGTCAAGTTATACCACATACCCTTAGAACTACATACAAATTCAACTTTATCCGATTTTCGGATAAACAGTTTGGCGCCTACCATGGGGCTAAGGATAACAGTGGTTATTTGATATGAATCTGCAACACGCACCATTTTATGCTTGTTTTTTGAAAGTGTCTTTGATTTCGGATTAACAACGACAAACTCTCAATTAATGGCCTTACCTATCGACAACGAAATTGGCCTTCAAGATGAAAACAACAACTTGACGCCCATGGTCGAAAGGCCGTTTGTCGATGCCGTTGAAGCTTGAGTCGAAGTACCACTAGACGTTAATTCGCATGTGGCCATTGAGGCAAACCAATGTTCTGAACCTGAAAATAGCATTCATGGTGGTACTCGATCTGCGG